GTGCTTAAAGATGGCCACCAACAGGACGGTGGCTGTGAAGATCGCGAAGGGAAAGAACTTAACACCAGAGGCAAAGAATGAGGTAGGGAACAACTCTGATCACATCTATATTAATATATTTATTATATTATAAGTTATAACCAATGTATAACATGCACGCTTAAGATGTCTGACTCATGGCTTTGTACAAACAACTAAATTGGTTTGGTTGTGATAATCCAAATGAACCATCAAGTTCGTTTTCTGCATTATACCATCAACCGACTGGGAAGTAAAGAGCAGAAACATTCAAAATACATCTTACTCTTGGGAATAATATATGTGGAAGATTATTATTTAATACTTTAACACAACTAAAAGTCAAATAAATACAAATTAAACTTCAAAATCCTGGAGATAATGTGCTTTTTTGGGGTATTTCTGTAGATAAAACCCCACATTTCCTGCCAAAAAACACAATTAGACGACAATAAATAAAGATTTTCACTTATTCCTAGTCATTAGAGTTGCAATAATTAACTATAAATGGGAGGATCTTTTAAAAGCAATATATAAAATGGGCATGACAATTGGAAATCAAGTTCATATACTTAAAGAAGAATGGATAAAATGGGTGAGGTATAAATACAGAACCTTACTAATGACCTTAGACGTAACGATGTATCTACTTCTTATGTTATTAATACTTCAAATGGACGTCCATCATAATTTTAACTGTATTTCATCTTGCCCTGTAAAGATGTATTTTCTCAACATGCAATCGTTTGTTCCCCAGATGGAGATAATGGAAGTGCTCAAAGCGTTTGACTCCGACAGGTTTAACTTTGTGACGTTCAACGATGTGTTTGTCTCCGGGAAACACGTCTGTCTGGAGTTTGAGATCCTGGACACGAGTCTGTTTGACTTCCTCTATCAGAAACCTCACCGCTCGCTGGCGCTGGACGAAATCCGCCCCATCCTGTACCAGGTACGCTAGATGCTCCACACACACATTTATAAAGAAAAACAAGAGAACATCTGAACATTTCCACAGAACTGATAAGAAATATCCTGCCTGCAAGAATTAAGCAACATTTTTGCAACTGATTATACGAAATGGTGGGTGTAGCAATACTGCAAAGCTTTAATTTATTATGTAGAAGGGATAAAAATATACACACGCACACAATTATGCGAACACTTTATATTAGTCGTGGTAGCTTAAACAATATCTTTAAGAAACATTTAATCTCACTTTCTTTCCAGGAGTTAGATCAATACCACGCTCAAATGTGTGTTTATTATCCAGTAGCTTAGCTTAGCTTAGCATAAAGACTTATTCGTGATCTTATATTTCAGGTTTCCGTAACGCTGCAGCTGCTCCAGAGTCTGGGAGTCGTGCACACGGACCTGAAGCCGGAGAACATCATGCTGCTGGACCACAGGAAGCAGCCGTGGAGAATCAAGGTGATCGACTTCGGCATGGCGCGTCACGTCGCTCAGTCGGAGCTGGGCGACTACATGCAGACACGACATTACAGGTGAGAAACCAGCAGCGGGGGAAGAAGATTTAAAGGTCACCTATTGTGCAAAAAAAATCCACTTGTTCATGTCTTCTATACATCAACATGTGTCCCCTCTGTCTAAAGAGACTCTGAAAGTTTCAGGAACAAAGATTCTCTCTCTTTTTGTCCTGATCCATTTCTATAAAAACCTGTCTGAAAATGAGCTGATCAGATTTTGGCCACCTTATGATGTCATAACGATGTTTTGGCTTGTGTAACTATTAGCCAATCACCAACCAAGGTAACCCCCTCCCCACCTTATCACCTGAATCTCCTCCTAGAGCACCATTGTGTTCTTTTTAACCAAATATCTCTCAGAGGGGCGTGGGGAGGGGCTCCTTATTTTCATCTAAACTAACAGACAGAGAATCAGCACTTTTGAAACAGGGCTGAAACAGAGGGGATTGTGGGATGCTGCAATGATCTGTTTGGTGTTTCAGCCAATCAGAGACATGTTCTGTATATATCTGAGACCTATACTATATTGATGAAAAACAGTATAATAGGGGACCTTTAATGCTTAAGAAGTTAAATAGCAAAAAAATTGTAAAATGACTCAAAACTAAAACGATATATGTTTATTTGTCTTTTCTAAGGTCTCCGGAGATTATCCTAGGACTCCCCACAACGTCAGCCATCGACATGTGGTCTCTGGGCTGCATCGCCGCGGAGCTGTTTGCGGGCGCTGTGCTCTACCCTGGAGACACCGAGCACGAAATGGTGGGTGTAGCAATACTGCAAAACTTTAATTTATTATGTAGAAGGGATAATAAGCAGGATACACACGCACACAATTATGCGAACACTTTATATTAGTCGTGGTAGCTTAAACAATATCTTTAAGAAACATTTCATTTCACTTTCTTTCCAGGAGTTGGATCAATACCACGCTCAAATGTATTATCCAGTAGCTTAGCTTAGCATAAAGACTGACCGCAGCTACAAACCGCTAGCCTTGCTCTCTCACTTAGAAACACTTTTTACTTAAAATGTTTCCTAAATTAGATTAAGCTAATGACTTCCTGGTTATAGAAATATACATTATGCCCAGACATCAGAGACGTATCGATCTGTACCTCTGTGCAAGAGAGCAAATGTGTGTATTTCACCATAAAATGCAACAGAAAAAACGGTGGGAAACCCCTAGAAAGCATAGTAGGGCCTCTTTGAAAAGGGAGATACTGTAACTGCGTAAAACGTTGGCTTTTTGTAAACTTTTCTGAAGCACTTCTATGTTATTTGAAAATCCTAATATTGATGTAAGTGTAACTGACTTTGTTTGTGTTTTGTCAACAGCTGCGACATATAGTGCAGACTCAGGGTCATCCTCCGTCTCGTCTCATGGTCAAAGGCGTCAACACGCATTGGTTTTTCCATTATAGAAGGAAGAGCGGGAGACGTTGTTGGATATTGAAGGTACCAGCACTGAGTTGCTTTTAAACTAAAATATCTTACTGTTTTTAATTTCCTTTTGAGACAGGTTACCTAATCCTATATAATTTATCTTTAAAACGTTCAGCAGTCTGGAGAAACCAACCCAAGTGCCAGACAATTCAAATCGCTGAATGGTATAATAAAGGTAGGAAATACTATTTGAAAATGAGCTGTTAAACTTGAGAACATCTGCCGTAAATCTGTTTCCATGATCCACCGAGATGAATAGAGGTTTATAATGTTCCTGGTTTGTTCTGATTCAGTTAAAACCCCCCCGCCACCTGTTGGACGAAGACAACGTGGCAGAAACTGAAGACCGGAAGGTGTTCCTGGATCTGCTGAAGAAGATGCTTCACCTGGACATCGATCGGAGGATTTCCCCCAGTGATCTTCTTCAGCATCCCTTCATCACCTTGAACCGCCTCGCTCAAAACCACCAGAACAGCTTCTAGTGAGTCCTCATTACAACTGTTGTAGAATATCTGCAACAAGAAAGAGAAGCCGCATCACGCTGATTGGGTCCAATGCATTATCTTATTTACTTTTGATTCTGATACGATTCAAAAGACTTGATTGTCGTCTGCACAATAGTAAAAGTGTAGCTCTGAGAATTAAAATCCTAAATCCAAGGCTTCTTTAACACTGCAACAAAACTGAAGACGTAAAGATAACATAAAAATAGTGCAAGAGAGATGTGCAAGTGACGCAATAGTTCAGAAATAACTGCATGCAAAAACGACTAACTATCAGTACTGTAAAGTGGAGTAACATCCTGACTCGGAACGTTGGTTTTAACAATGTTTTTTCTTCTTCTTTTCAGCGTGAAATCCAGCTGTGAAAAGATGGAGGTCTGCCTGGATCAGAGTGAGGGCTTTGACGGGGGTCAGATGAACCTGTCGCCCTCCACCAGCGGAGCAGAGGGCCCCCCCGCCTGGTTCAGGACCCAAGAACACCCCCTCATCCTGGGCATCTCGTCCCAGGTATCGGACAGCCTCTCCATAAACGATGAAGAGAGTCAACAACAACAACAACAACAACAACAACAACCCCCTCCTCAATCGCCTGTTGCTATAAAGCCTGTGTCCCCGCCGCTGCAAGTTAGCACTGCGCCTCCACCCTGCCAACAAGAGAGAACCGGGAGGAAGGCGCTGAGGAAATCATCGAGGAGAAAACCCCGCGGTGACGACAGGTAAGTGTTGTAGGACCGGAGATCTTTATGTACACACACAGGTCCATTTTAGGACATTTCTTCTATTACATGTCTTCTATCAGTGTAGTAGAGAGAAAACGTGCAAATTACACACAGAGGTGTTTCATTTACTTCATATTACTATTACTTTACACATCTTTAAAAGCCATTTTCTAGAAAGTTTTTACAGAGGTTTGTGTAGTTTATTGATCAAAAATGTGATTTATTGTATGGCTTTAGACAGTGTGTTCTGATTTATGTAGTGATACTAATGGATATTAACAAATTCCTTTAGTTAAACCTTTAAATTAAATATGTCAATGTTTTGTTTTTGCTTAATAATCAAAGATTTTTGTTCAAGAAAATGTAAACTAGCTCATTTGAAAGGATATAATGCCTTGTTTGCATATCTTAACACAACATTTCTAAATATTGTTTAAAGAAAATAATTAAAGCAATAATTCATTTTTTATATGATATGATATTTACAGTTATAATTGGAGATATTAAAACCCGTTTTTTTGTCAATGCAGCAGCCCGGAGAGAGACAGACCATCGAGCAAGAGCAGGAACACAGAAATCATCCAGACATCAAAAAGTAGGCAAAACACAACTGTTCATAAATAATAATTGTAGTAGTAGTTTATAGTTTATACTTACACACAGCTGGTGCAGATCTTAAATCTGAAACTAAGAGGGGATGTTTCACAGGCGGATGAATCTAAGAATCTGGTGATTCATTTAATCAGTTTTTGATTGACCTTTGCTTTGTTTCTTTGTCCTTTTATCCAGAGACTACGATCCGTGTGGCCGAAATAAAATGCGGGAGAAAGCGGACGTGGGACACTTTCTTAGCGTCCCACATCGTGTCAAAGTAGGTGTTATTATATTTGTCCGTACTGTTTGAAGCTCACTGTTACAATTAATGTGGTTAAAAACAAAAAAAAACATTCTTTAAATGCAGAAAGCGAGTCAAGGATTCACCGGAGAGCAAGAAAAGGAAAAGGGATGATTCTGAGGCTGAAGGAAAACCCGGGAGAAAGCGAACGTGGGACACTTTTGTAGCCTCAGGATTAAGGTAGGTGTTCTTCTCTTTGTCTGTACTGTTTGAATAGAATAGAATAGAAACCGGTGAGCGGAGCGAAACACACAAGAGTTAGACCTAACACACTTAGCTATTTTATCTACCTCTGGAACAAGCTAAACTAGTTATAAATATGTTTATTCTTCACTGTCGGGTCACTCATTACTGGATCAGCGAGCTGCATGAGACGATACTGACGGGCTGTCAGGAGAGGGAGAGAGGGGGAGAGAGAGGGGGAGAGAGGGGGAGAGAGGGAGAGAGAGGAAAAGAGAGCGCTTGCTCATTTCTCCCGTGGTATTATCCAAAGTGAATGTAAACTTGAATAATATACATAATTTGAATGTAATAATTAAGTTGATTGTTGTTTGTGGAAGCTCCAGTGAATGAGCCCCATTAACTGAGATTTAAACATCACTTTAAATGGAAGATTTAAAGTGATGTTTAAATCTTCCATTTAGGCCCCGCCCACTCGATCGGATCGGCGATCGGTATCGGCAGATACTGATTCCGGCGATCGGCGATCGGCGATCGGCGATCGGCGATCGGCGATCGGCCCCAAAATTGGCGATCGGAGCATCCCTAGTTTTAACAATGTTTTTTCTTCTTCTTTTCAGCGTGAAATCCAGCTGTGAAAAGATGGAGGTCTGCCTGGATCAGAGTGAGGGCTTTGACGGGGGTCAGATGAACCTGTCGCCCTCCACCAGCGGAGCAGAGGGCCCCCCCGCCTGGTTCAGGACCCAAGAACACCCCCTCATCCTGGGCATCTCGTCCCAGGTATCGGACAGCCTCTCCATAAACGATGAAGAGAGTCAACAACAACAACAACAACAACAACAACAACAACAACAACCCCCTCCTCAATCGCCTGTTGCTGTAAAGCCTGTGTCCCCGCCGCTGCAAGTTAGCACTGCGCCTCCACCCTGCCAACAAGAGAGAACCGGGAGGAAGGCGCTGAGGAAATCATCGAGGAGAAAACCCCGCGGTGACGACAGGTAAGTGTTGTAGGACCGGAGATCTTTATGTACACACACAGGTCCATTTTAGGACATTTCTTCTATTACATGTCTTCTATCAGTGTAGTAGAGAGAAAACGTGCAAATTACACACAGAGTTGTTTCATTTACTTCATATTACTATTACTTTACACATCTTTAAAAGCCATTTTCTAGAAAGTTTTTACAGAGGTTTGTGTAGTTTATTGATCAAAAATGTGATTTATTGTATGGCTTTAGACAGTGTGTTCTGATTTATGTAGTGATACTAATGGATATTAACAAATTCCTTTAGTTAAACCTTTGAATTTAATATGTCAATGTTTTGTTTTTGCTTAATAATGAAAGATTTTTGTTCAAGAAAATGTAAACTAGCTAATTTGAAAGGATATAATGCCTTGTTTGCATATCTTAACACAACATTTCTAAATATTGTTTAAATAGAGAATTAACGCAATAATTCATTTTTTATATGATATGATATTTACAGTTATAATTGGAGATATTAAAACCCGTTTTTTTGTCAATGCAGCAGCCCGGAGAGAGACAGACCATCGAGCAAGAGCAGGAACACAGAAATCATCCAGACATCAAAAAGTAGGCAAAACACAACTGTTCATAAATAATAATTTTAGTAGTAGTTTATAGTTTATACTTACACACAGCTGGTGCAGATCTTAAATCTGAAACTAAGAGGGGATGTTTCACAGGCGGATGAATCTAAGAATCTGGTGATTCATTTAATCAGTTTTTGATTGACCTTTGCTTTGTTTCTTTGTCCTTTTATCCAGAGACTACGATCCGTGTGGCCGAAATAAAACGCGGGAGAAAGCGGACGTGGGACACTTTCTTAGCGTCCCACATCGTGTCAAAGTAGGTGTTATTATATTTGTTACTGTTTGAAGCTCACTGTTACAATTCATGTGGTTAAAAACAAAAAAAAACATTCTTTAAATGCAGAAAGCGAGTCAAGGATTCACCGGAGAGCAAGAAAAGGAAAAGGGATGATTCTGAGGCTGAAGGAAAACCCGGGAGAAAGCGAACGTGGGACACTTTTGTAGCCTCAGGATTAAGGTAGGTGTTCTTCTCTTTGTCTGTACTGTTTGAATATAATAGAATAGAAACCGGTGAGCGGAGCGAAACACACAAGAGTTAGACCTAACACACTTAGCTATTTTATCTACCTCTGGAACAAGCTAAACTAGTTATAAATATGTTTATTCTTCACTGTCGGGTCACTCATTACTGGATCAGCGAGCTGCATGAGACGATACTGACGGGCTGTCAGGAGAGGGAGAGAGGGGGAGAGAGAGGGGGAGAGAGGGGGAGAGAGGGAGAGAGAGGAAAAGAGAGCGCTTGCTCATTTCTCCCGTGGTATTATCCAAAGTGAATGTAAACTTGAATAATATACATAATTTGAATGTAATAATTAAGTTGATTGTTGTTTGTGGAAGCTCCAGTGAATGAGCCCCATTAACTGAGATTTAAACATCACTTTAAATGGAAGATTTAAAGTGATGTTTAAATCTTCCATTTAGGCCCTGCCCACTCGATCGGATCGGCGATCGGTATCGGCAGATACTGATTCCGGCGATCGGCGATCGGCGATCGGCGATCGGCGATCGGCCCCAAAATTGGCGATCGGAGCATCCCTAGTTTTAACAATGTTTTTTCTTCTTCTTTTCAGCGTGAAATCCAGCTGTGAAAAGATGGAGGTCTGCCTGGATCAGAGTGAGGGCTTTGACGGGGGTCAGATGAACCTGTCGCCCTCCACCAGCGGAGCAGAGGGCCCCCCCGCCTGGTTCAGGACCCAAGAACACCCCCTCATCCTGGGCATCTCGTCCCAGGTATCGGACAGCCTCTCCATAAACGATGAAGAGAGTCAACAACAACAACAACAACAACCCCCTCCTCAATCGCCTGTTGCTATAAAGCCTGTGTCCCCGCCGCTGCAAGTTAGCACTGCGCCTCCACCCTGCCAACAAGAGAGAACCGGGAGGAAGGCGCTGAGGAAATCATCGAGGAGAAAACCCCGCGGTGACGACAGGTAAGTGTTGTAGGACCGGAGATCTTTATGTACACACACAGGTCCATTTTAGGACATTTCTTCTATTACATGTCTTCTATCAGTGTAGTAGAGAGAAAACGTGCAAATTACACACAGAGTTGTTTCATTTACTTCATATTACTATTACTTTACACATCTTTAAAAGCCATTTTCTAGAAAGTTTTTACAGAGGTTTGTGTAGTTTATTGATCAAAAATGTGATTTATTGTATGGCTTTAGACAGTGTGTTCTGATTTATGTAGTGATACTAATGGATATTAACAAATTCCTTTAGTTAAACCTTTGAATTTAATATGTCAATGTTTTGTTTTTGCTTAATAATCAAAGATTTTTGTTCAAGAAAATGTAAACTAGCTAATTTGAAAGGATATAATGCCTTGTTTGCATATCTTAACACAACATTTCTAAATATTGTTTAAATAGAGAATTAACGCAATAATTCATTTTTTATATGATATGATATTTACAGTTATAATTGGAGATATTAAAACCCGTTTTTTTGTCAATGCAGCAGCCCGGAGAGAGACAGACCATCGAGCAAGAGCAGGAACACAGAAATCATCCAGACATCAAAAAGTAGGCAAAACACAACTGTTCATAAATAATAATTTTAGTAGTAGTTTATAGTTTATACTTACACACAGCTGGTGCAGATCTTAAATCTGAAACTAAGAGGGGATGTTTCACAGGCGGATGAATCTAAGAATCTGGTGATTCATTTAATCAGTTTTTGATTGACCTTTGCTTTGTTTCTTTGTCCTTTTATCCAGAGACTACGATCCGTGTGGCCGAAATAAAATGCGGGAGAAAGCAGACGTGGGACACTTTCTTAGCGTCCCACATCGTGTCAAAGTAGGTGTTATTATATTTGTTACTGTTTGAAGCTCACTGTTACAATTCATGTGGTTAAAAACTAAAAAAACATTCTTTAAAATGCAGAAAACGAGTCAAGGATTCACCGGAGAGCAAGAAAAGAAAAAGGGATGATTCTGAGGCTGAAGGAAAACCCGGGAGAAAGCGAACGTGGGACACTTATGTAGCCTCAGGATTAAGGTAGGTGTTCTTCTCTTTGTCTGTACTGTTTGAATATAATAGAATAGAAACCTTTATCATCATTATACACTTACAAAAACAAAAAAAAACCTTCTTAAAATGCAGAAAGCAAATCAATTCCTCACCGGAGAGGAAGAAAAGGAAGCGTGATGATTCTGAAGAAGCGGAGAGAAAACCCGGGAGAAAGCGAACGTGGGACACTTTTGTAGCCTCAGGATTAAGGTAGGTGTTCTTCTCTTTGTCTGTACTGTTTGAATATAATAGAATAGAAACCTTTATCGTCATTATACACTTACAAAAACAAAAAAAAACCTTCTTAAAATGCAGAAAGCAAATCAATTCCTCACCGGAGAGGAAGAAAAGGAAGCGTGATGATTCTGAAGAAGCGGAGAGAAAACCCGGGAGAAAGCGAACGTGGGACACTTTTGTAGCCTCAGGATTAAGGTAGGTGTTCTTCTCTTTGTCTGTACTGTTTGAATATAATAGAATAGAAACCTTTATCGTCATTATACACTTACAAAAACAAAAAAAAACCTTCTTAAAATGCAGAAAGCAAATCAATTCCTCACCGGAGAGGAAGAAAAGGAAGCGTGATGATTCTGAAGAAGCGGAGAGAAAACCCGGGAGAAAGCGAACGTGGGACACTTTTGTAGCCTCAGGATTAAGGTAGGTGTTCTTCTCTTTGTCTGTACTGTTTGAATATAATAGAATAGAAACCTTTATCGTCATTATACACTTACAAAAACAAAAAAAAACCTTCTTAAATGCAGAAAGCAAATCAATTCCTCACCGGAGAGGAAGAAAAGGAAGCGTGATGATTCTGAAGAAGCGGAGAGAAAACCCGGGAGAAAGCGAACGTGGGACACTTTTGTAGCCTCAGGATTAAGGTAGGTGTTCTTCTCTTTGTCTGTACTGTTTGAATATAATAGAATAGAAACCTTTATCGTCATTATACACTTACAAAAACAAAAAAAAACCTTCTTAAATGCAGAAAGCAAATCAATTCCTCACCGGAGAGGAAGAAAAGGAAGCGTGATGATTCTGAAGAAGCGGAGAGAAAACCCGGGAGAAAGCGAACGTGGGACACTTTTGTAGCCTCAGGATTAAGGTAGGTGTTCTTCTCTTTGTCTGTACTGTTTGAATATAATAGAATAGAAACCTTTATCATCATTATACACTTACAAAAACAAAAAAAAAACCTTCTTAAAATGCAGAAAGCAAATCAATTCCTCACCGGAGAGGAAGAAAAGGAAGCGTGATGATTCTGAAGAAGCGGAGAGAAAACCCGGGAGAAAGCGAACGTGGGACACTTTTGTAGCCTCAGGATTAAGGTAGGTGTTCTTCTCTTTGTCTGTACTGTTTGAATATAATAGAATAGAAACCTTTATCGTCATTATACACTTACAAAAACAAAAAAAAACCTTCTTAAAATGCAGAAAGCAAATCAATTCCTCACCGGAGAGGAAGAAAAGGAAGCGTGATGATTCTGAAGAAGCGGAGAGAAAACCCGGGAGAAAGTGGACGTGGGACACTTTTGTAGCCTCAGGATTAAGGTAGGTGTTCTTCTCTTTGTCTGTACTGTTTGAATATAATAGAATAGAAACCTTTATCGTCATTATACACTTACAAAAACAAAAAAAAACCTTCTTAAAATGCAGAAAGCAAATCAATTCCTCACCGGAGAGGAAGAAAAGGAAGCGTGATGATTCTGAAGAAGCGGAGAGAAAACCCGGGAGAAAGTGGACGTGGGACACTTTTGTAGCCTCACACATCGAGTTAAAGTAGGTGTTAAGTTATCAGTTTGTAACGATTTACTAAAATCACTGTTAAAAGTCAAGAGATCCAAACAAGTTTCTTCTGTGCAGAAATGAACGCAGTGGCTCTCCGGAGAGGAAGATGAGGAAGACGAGCCTGGAAGAGGAGGAGGCAAACACACGTAAGCTCATCTTTGAGATTTATTCAATTGATTAACCTTGTCCTGTTTCAGAGGTGGGAAAAGTATTCAGATTCTTTACTTGAGTAAAAGTACTAATACTACACTGTAGATGTAATACATTTCAAGTAAAAGTACCACATAGAGAATCGTCCTCAAGTAGAATTTAAGTACGATTAGGAAAATGTACTTAAAGTGTTAGGAGTAAATGAACTCATTGCAGAAAATAATTACATTACATTACATGTTACTTGTTAGACGCTTTTATCCAAAGCGATTAACATACTCAATACTGTGGGCAATCCCCACAGGAGCAATTTGTTGTGAAGTGTCTTGCCCAGGGACACAACTACATGCTGACTGCAGTGGGGTTTGAACCTGTGACCCCCTGATCCGAACACCAACACACTAGTCCACTGCGGCACAGCCTCCCTATAATGTTAAATATTTGTTTAATATTTTAAAGCAAAAGCAGCAAACTTTCCCATTTAAGAAGCTGGGACTGTGAAGTTAAATTGCTGCCAATAAATGTTCAGTTCACCAGCCTTGAGTTACTTAAATATAATGTTGGCTGGTTCAATCGATACCAAATAATCATATTTAAAAAAATGTTCCTAAGTATTGCAAAATTGTAATTTTTAAAAGTATCTAGTAAGTAAATCTGTCACATAAAATAAATGTAGAGGAGTAAAAAGTATAATATTTGCTTCCAAAATATAGTAGAGTAGAAGTATAAAGTAGTACCTTAATGTGTACTTAAGTACAGTACTTGAGTAAATGTACTTAGTTACTCTCCACTACTGTCCTGTATACAAATCAGTAATTGTCTGGAGGTTTTTCAAACTTTTAAACGTTTTTATCCCACAGAAGGCTCGTCTCTGAGCACCAGGAAGAGAAAGCGACACCCTGGGGATCCTCCAGAGGGGGAGGAGGAGCCCAGGTGTGTCAAGAGAAGGAGATATTAAAGGGGGAGAGTGCCAAGTCCGATGGGGTTGAGCACCAAAACTAAGGGGGGAGGGCTGAAATTACAAGAGCGCTGAAACTATGGGGGAGGGAGACAAAATTACGGGGGAAAGCGCCGAAAATACAATTGAGAGAGCTGAAACTACGTGGGAGAGAGCGCCAAAACTACGGGGGAGAGCGCCAAAACTACGGGGGAGAGCGCCAAAACTACGGGGGAGAGCACCAAAACTACGGGGGAGAGCACCAAAACTACAGGGGAGAGCGCCAAAACTACGGGGGAGAGCACCAAAACTACGGGGGAGAGCGCCGAAACTACGGGGGAGAGCTACAACGTCAGACAGGTAAGAGTGCAGAAGGAACGACGGGGGAGAGCGCAGACGACAATGGGTGAGTGCCGATGTCAGAAATGGGAGAGCGCAGAAGAACGACGGGGAATAACGCAGGCGGTCATCTTAGGTCAGGTCAGGTAAGGTCAGTTAAAGTATAAATGTAAACAGTATGATTGTTAGCTGTTTCCCAGGAGAGAGGAGGACATACTGGCTTCCTTTAAAGAGCACTTCCTCTCTTCTCTAGGCCCATTAGACACAGATCGTTGCCTGGTTAAATTATTATTTTGGGAGTTTTGGCCCGCTTGAGGGAGGCTTTGTTGTCACTTGGGCTTAAAATTACTTATATTTTCCACACTGGGCATTAATTAGCATTTCATCCCACCTGTTACCACAAATAAGATAATTACATTTCAAAGTATTATTATTATTATGTATTATTGTGATTGATTATTATGTATTATGTATTATTATGATTGATAATTATGTGTTATTATGTATTATTATGATTGATAATGATGTGTTATTATGTATTATTATGATTGATAAGTATGTGTTATGTATTATTATGATTGATAAGTATGTGTTATGTATTATTGTGATTGATAATTATGTATTATTATGATTGATAATTATGTGTTATGTATTATTATGATTGATAATTATGTGTTATGTATTATTATGATTGATAAGTATGTGTTATGATTGATAATTATGTGTTATGTATTATTATGTGTTATTGTGATTGATAATTATGTATTATTATGTGTTACTATGTATTATTATGTATTAGTATTGTCATTATTATTATCATTATTATTATATGTCAAGAGAGGGAGATATTAAAGGGGGTGAGTGCCAAGTCCGATGGGGTTGAGCGCCAAAACTAAGGGGGGAGGGCTGAAATTACAAGAGCGCTGAAACTATGGGGGAGGGAGACAAAATTACAGGGGAAAGCGCCGAAAATACAATTGAGAGAGCTGAAACTACGGGGAGAGAGCTCCAAAACTACGGGGGAGAGCGCCGAAACTACGGGGGAGAGCGTCGAAACTACGGGGGAGAGAGTGCTGAAACTACAAGAGAGAGCGATGAAACTACGGGGGAGAGAGTGCTGAAACTACAAGAGAGAGCGATGAAACTATGCCAAAACTACAGGGGAGAGATGTCCAGAACTACGGGGGAGAGCGCTAAAACTACGGGGGAGAGCGCCAAAACTACGGGGACAGCGCCAGAACTACGGGGGAGAGCGCCAAAACTACGGGGGAGAGCGCCAAAACTACGGGGGAGAGCGCCGCTCATGTTACATGTTTATAACTTGATTGGATGTCTGTATATCTGTATTCTATTTATAAATAAATATATAAAATTTTATTTTAAGTCTGTCATTCTGTTTATTTCAAACTGTTGACGTATTTGTATGTATTTAATTGGACTTTAAATTTGTAAATAAATATATTACATTTTAATATTTGTTATGTCTTTCTATCTTTTTAATGTCTAATTTCACCGTGTTTTGCTGTTGCACTTACAGTTGTGTCCATTTAATTCTTATAAAATAACATTTAAGACGAAGTGTGTAGTTAATTTAAAAACTAAGTATAGTATGGAGGTAAAATAAAAGATAATTAAAGGTAGAAACAAATGTGTGGACGTCAAGACACACTTGATCAAATTGTGTTATCATTTTACAATATGATGTTTTCTACAATTCAGAGAAAATTACAATTTAAAAGCAAAAACATTTGTTTGAAAAACCAGGTTTTGCTTTGCTAATTTGAAGAGTCTGATCTCTTGTAAATCACAAGATAATTGCATTCATATATTCTTTTTTAATTGACACAGTTGTTCAAAGATGCACGTGAAGGGCTCTGCTGTGAAAAGCATTGTCAATGTTCTTTGTTGTGGTCTTAAAAGCTTTTAGTTGGATTTCTTTTAAAGTGTGAATCAATTGTGTAACAGTGTCCCTTAGCAGATACAGACAGCATCAAATCACACTTAAATATGTTAGCTTATTAAGGCTAACACGTCTCAACTAATACCATTTCTGCATAGTTAGCTTTCTTCCTTTTTACTAGCTTTTCACTGTGCAGCTTTTAGTAAAGCTAGTTAGCCTTTTTTGACAAGAGAAGCTGCTTACAAAGGTTGTTGCCTTTGACAAAAAATCCATAAAAAAATGTCATCTGTGGAAGCCGTAATACTGTAAAAAGTACGACCAATCATTTTAGCCGGCCCGGCTAAAATAACTGGATGGCCTACCTGCCTGTCAGCCTTCCATCTGTGCACAAACTTATCTCGTGCCCTCATTGGTCATGTGCACGTTCGTGTGTGTTGGAGGAGGGGCTCTATAAGGAAGTGGCAGATTTTCTCCGGTTGTGTATTTTCAAATTCTAGCGATCTCGAGCCGGTTTCTCAAACTTACCTACCCTACCTTTAAACGTATAATTAAGTGATGGCAAAATATAAATAACTAATGTCATGCAAACATATTAATATTTGCTTGATTCCAGTGTTGAATTTAGCACAATTGCATACAAACGTTAAAGGGCCCATGTCATGCTTTCCCGGTTATTACCCGTCCCCTTGTGTGTTATGAAGGTTTTTATGCATGTAAACGGTGTGCAGAGTCAAAACCCTCAAAGTACACCCTGTAGCGAGTAAAACTCTAACACAGAAAATACCTCCCCAAAACGCCTCGTTGGAGATACGTCACTGCCCATTTGAGTCTTCCATTTAGTTCCGGGTACGGCATGATGTCATGCCGTACCCGGAACGAAATGGACCAATCCGGAAGAGCTATGGCCACACCCAGCGGCGCTGGCCGCACCCTCTGCCAGCCTAACATTTACTGTTGGAAGCTCTGGTTCAGTTCACAATCGATCCAGTCATGCCAATGCCAAGGACCTGTTTCCTGAAATGTGAGGAGACATCTGAGCTGTTTGTCCTACCGACGGAAGAACCACGACAAAGTCAGTGGTTGAAATTTCTGTTTAACACTGTTCCTTCAGAGGTTCGAAGAACGTTACTGTGTGTGCGGCATTTCACAGACGAAAGCTTCCAAAACATTGCCCAGTTTGAGGCCGGATATGCACAGCATTTGAAACTGAAGGACGATGCTATTCCTAGTTTGTTTGGACCGTTTGGAGCAGCGGAAGATTCGGGTACACAACCTGTAAGTTTGCATTGTTATTTGTGTATTTATCAAACAAGGTATCTACCACGACCATGTTTAAATGTGTAAATGTGTAAACGTGTGTCGGACTGCTAGCGTTTCCATATATCAACTCTAATATCAGCAGATGGCCTTACATACATGTATCTCATAGCAGGAGAATGTCTGCATTCACACACGAAATACTCATAGACAGTATACTCCGGGTGATTTACCGTACGGTCAGTTGCGAAACGTAATTACATTATAGCTGGCGTTCCTAGCGTGTATGCTAGACATGAGTTTGCTCGGGAAAACATTGTTGTTATGCCAGCTACAATGAATGTAGCAGACTACCCGTATAAGATTGCAATTGTAAACATGTTCTTGATAGCCTAATATGAACCACTATCTGTTGTTCATAGTATAGTATAGTATAGTATAGTAGCCTATAGCATATTACACTGAACAACTAGCAAACGTAGGTTAGCATTGTAATCCAGCTGTTGTTCATAGTAGATTGGCATATTACACTGAACAACTAGCAAACGTAGGTTAGCATATTAGCTGGCAAGCTAACTGTGTTGATTAGATAGATAGATTAGATAGATACACACTCCTACCACAACTACTACTAACGAATCTAAAACAACTAAGTTTCTCTAATATTTTGTGATTTGCATTTGATTTCGTCCAGCCAGATCAGGAAACTCCTGGCGTATCTGGCGGACAACACACACACGGGATGACCCACTCTGATGCCTCGTCCTAAAAAGCCCCGGCAGCCGCTTACAAAGCTGCGATAGGCAAGATGCCGAAAACGCCTATAAGGGGAGGAATGGATGATATACAGTGTATACGCATGTTCATTTTGTACATTTCTAAAAATAAAGTTTGATGGAAATACTTAGTAGGCCTATCCTTTCTTCCCTGAATTATTTGCTCCTATAACATATCATTCATATATAGCAAACCATGATTTGATTTCTCATCAAACAGTAGTAGTTTATTACAACAGTTGTAGGTACAGTTCGGTTAGTTAGCGTATAACATATACGGCTGTACCGAGGCCATTATAAGACTGTTGTTCCGCTGAGAGCGAGCCGAAAAAAGCACTGTTAGACATGGGCGGAGCCTCTCTGGTGGTTGACTAATCAGAACAGAGTGGCCGAGCTGACCAATCGGAGCACACTAGGCTCACAGGGAGGGGGGGGCAAGAGCTCCAACGAGCCGTTTAGTGGAGAGAGTGAATACTGCTGAATACACATACTTTACAGAGATGCTGTATGCGAAACCAATGTGAGTTTGGAAAATTGCACAGTATAAATCTATTTTAGTATACCTCAACAATGGAATTATGATCAGTGGAAATGGCCATGACATGGGCCCTTTAAGGGATTTTAAGATTCTGAAGTATTATGCTAAAAACTCAATAACTTAGATTATTATTTATAGTTTTGCTGAATAGTTTCATGTCCGCTTACCTTAGAAACGTAAAATGCGACGGCAGTGTGCAGATGGGGAGGAT